AGTACCCTGGCATGCGGCGGTGCTGCAGGGAGCTGAGAGGTTCATGACCTCCTGGCACGAGAAGGAAGAAGAGGCCAGCCGCCAACGGGCGCTCAAACGACACCACAAGCCAGCAATCAATGGGGCGGGAGGGGTCAGGAGACGGACGGGACGGCGAGGGAAGAAAGAAAACGAGGGGAGACGGACCGAGTGGCGCGATACGTGCCGGATTGAGTTTCTCTCAGCCAATTCCCCCCCCCCCAACGCTGCACCATTGCACCAATCCCCCACTAGTGATGACGTACCATTACAATGTATCGCTGGTTGGTGGCCATGTTTGCGTGTTTGCTTACTCGTTAGTGGTCTCTCCACCGTGTGCCTTTTTCTGTCTCTTGTTTCTTGTTATTTTCGGCCTGGTCCCTTTTATCCTCGCTCTTTTTCATTTCATTTTCTTTTTCCTTACTGCTGTTTCAATTTCTTGTCTTTTTCTCTGTTTTTTTTTTTCTTCTCTTTTTCTGTGCCAGATGGCTTGTCTCTGCTTGCGTTGCGATGTACCAAGATTGAACCAAGGGGGTGTACCTCATTCTCTCCGGCCCGTGATGGTGACTCCTAGTCTCAGTTGTTATACCTCGCATAGCGCGCAGAGTGCGTGGAGGACTCCAGTATATTTGTCGTTGATTTCTATTGACTTGCGGACCCCTCGGGGCCAGTTATTTGAGTGTACATTTTTAGGGTAAGTTAGCCTGCGACCACCGGGAATCGACCGCGTCGAGTGTTGGATCAGTACGGACATACGAAGGTACTGGGTAGAGAGAGATCGGAATGGTTTTTAATGTGAAGACAACAACAACANTTGTGTCCATCAGACGCGTTTTTTTCGACGAGTTTTCAATTTTTTCCGCACCCCGCCTCTCGGTCGGTGCCGTTGGCTCCCGGTACCATTGCTGTTCGCTCCAGGGGTTCTACTGCCTGGTATCGTAGAGGATTCTCAGGGTCAGCTTCACGGCGGCCCGTCCTGGGGATGGTGATGGCATCGGAGGACGCAAGTCTAGTTGTGCCGCCTTCTCCAGCTGATGATGATAACGGCACCAGGCGAGTGTGAAGACCACAGTAGTGGGTTCGTCTGGGCTGTCGGAGTTTTACATTCGCCTTTCCCTAGAGAGGCATTGACAATTGGTGCACGTAGCCGCGGTTGCTTTGCTCTTTGTTCTGGACCACTCTCGTCGTCGATCCACTCTTTTCTATCGCAGATTGAGTTGTTAGTTCAACCTTGCAGTGCCAACGAACAAGGGGTACGCAGCGAGCTTCGACACTGCGTGGAAATAGCTACGCATGCATACGTGCCTTGGCTTTGCCTTTAAGTCTGGGCGTCGTTCCAATCTCCCTTTCATGTGAATGGCAGAATTTCAACCTGGAACTTACATGAACACATAGTGCTCTATGTGAGACGGTCACACTCTGGGCATGACAAACCCGGGGGTGCTGTGCACCCTCCACGAACGAGATGTCAAAGCACTAGTTGTTGGTCGTTCATCGTTGATAAGCAGCTGTGACGTTCACAAGGCACACAATCTACGCGCTTGTTGTGACAACAGCATGTTGTTGAGAAGATGGCG